AGCACTCACCACATGTCTGTTTTCTCTTTCTTCCTCCGTTTTCTACCCCCTCCCACTCTTTATTTTTTCTATCTGTCAAACTCATCTCCAAAGTGTTTACTCTAGGGGCTAATAAGAAACCCGAACAGATTTATTCATTAGAACACGGCGGCTAATGATATGAAAAGAAATAATAATTGAGTTTTCCATCCAAACACTGAGAGCCAATTTCAGGACGTGGAAACAAGATACGGGATAGAAGAGGCCTGTTTGATTTGAGGGCTTGTTTCATGTTACTGATTCTAAATTAGCTTAAGTAAATACACCTGCGTGACCCCAGAGCCCCGCAGAGGTCGAAGTCATTCAAACATTTAAAGAATGATAATTAAATTACCCTTGGTGCTGAACAACTTTAATTTGGTAGCATCGCAAATTGTTTCCAGCCTTTTCCCCCCAACAAGTGGCTCCTTCAGCCTCCTGGTTTAATATTTTATCAGCTTAGACTTGTAGCTACAAACAAGTGCTCATTTTCAGAACTGTAAGTAATCAAAGACAATTCACCTCAATTAGATGCGCTCCAAGTTGCAGTGCGGTTTACTTTGCGAAACGGTATACTGGGGGGGGGGGGGGGGGGGGATCGGTTTGGGGGGGGGGGGGGGTTGGGTGCTCTCGACCACTCAAGCATGAAACTGTACAAAACTAAAAATGGAATACAAGATGAAGAAGCGCTTCAGGCCAATCAAACTGCTGAACTTGCCGCTTTCTTGATTTATAGACTGAAATAAAGTTGTCTCGGAGTGATATTGAAATAGGGCTGGGGACTTTGGGGTCATATTTCAGTTGCTTGCGGTCAAGCTCTGGGCCCAGGTGGGGCTGCTTATGAGTCCTCTTCTGAGGTCCTAGCGAAGTGCTGCCACTGGAGCACAATAACTCTTAATTCTGATGCCTGGCTGGGATCCAGCAGCTCTACTACCTGAGTCTGTTTGAAGAACGACATGTTTGGCCGGGTATTTAGCCATGCTGTTTGAGCTCTAACGCCCCGAGCACAGAACATGGCAGCCTGGCAAAGCAATTCAGCCCTTCTCTATGATGAAATTATTCAATTCACCAGCTGACAGGATTGGCAATTGCATTATCTACAAACTCTTTGACCTGTACGATGAACGAGTTCCTTAAAAATGTCCCTTTCTGTTCCCTTACAAAGTTCACAATGATCAACTACACAATAAGTTTCTGCGAGTTGCCTGCTAACGCTCATGAAACTACAATCACACAGACTTATATTCTCCCTAAAAATATACAGTATGACATGAAGAAGATTCACCATCCTCATGACTGTCAACACACACACACACACACACACTGACACACAAAATACTACATAATATGGTCATCACTGTTTTCTCTCTTCATATTTCAGAGGGCATGAGGGCTGAGGGGTGTTGCTCTGTCTTTGATTTTGCTCTGTGCTGGAACATTTTTTTATGTTGCATTAAAAATTAATAACGATTAACCCAGTTGAAGCTCTGCACAGGCTGAGTTCAAAGAGCTGTGAGCCCAGAGCAGGCTCGCTCGGTTAAACTCCATCTGGGGTTACTGCACTGCAGCGCAGTACATAATCCACTCTATACCTACGAACCGGGCTGAAAACTTGTGGCATGGTAGAAATTAGCTAATTTCCAAGTGCTATTCTTTCAGAAGCATCCTATTTAGCACTTTCCCTCTTATCTCTCTCTCTTTCTCTCTCTCTGTTCACCTGAATCTGACCTCTTGATCCACTGCGAGCGTTCTGTAACATGGCATGTTCAGCCCAAGACTGGACACCTCAGAGATCAAAAGCAATCTCCTCTGAGCTGCAATTACCCAGACCTAAAATCCCTCCAAGCCCTTTCGCTCTTTCTCTTTATTTCTTTCTCAATCCCTCCTTTGCTGACCCACCCCCTCCCTCGAAGCGGGTGGCTTCAACACATTTGGCCCCAACCAAAAAAAAGCCTTTGTTTACATGGAGTGACCATGAAGAGTTTGAAAGCAGCCAAACGCTGTCAGAAGACATGCATGTTCTGCAGAGCTCGGAGTGCTTGCATGTGTGGGTGTGTTAACACATGATCCCATGACCCACTCACTGAGATTTCACCACTAAAGGCACGTTAAGACCTCCAAACAAGGCTGTGTGAGTGTGAGAATGTTTATGCATTACAGTGGATGAGTTCTGTGAATATCAAAGACATACATGATGAATAGTCTGCGAAGTGAAGCATAACTACAGTATATGCTTTATTTGTGCAATAAATGAAAAAAGAGAAATACAAATCCCCTCTGGGAATATTCCTACTACTTGGGATCAACACTTCTATATGGCTCTTGTTTTCTTGGCCTGGTACGACATGATGGACTTACATCATCTGCATACAATGTAGCTTGTGTTTTTGGGTCCCATTATGGTTTGACATGGACTTTTATGTTTCTGCATTGTTTGTTGTTCTGGAATCAGACAAAATGAAAACACATGAGGTGCGGAGCGATTTATTCGTGCTCCGGCAGTTCACTGCGTCTGACAATGCCAGTAATCTCTGCCAAACCATTCCACAACACTCATAATCAGCCGTCATCTCTTCCTTCTTTCATATCCCCTGCCTGACCCCGGCCCGGGAACTCACTTCATAGAACTCTCATTGTCTTCAAGCAAAGAGCATCCGTGTCCCAGGAGCGTCAGCCTTCGAAGTAAATGGCAGAAAAACCATGAGGCTTAATACTCAGTCTACAGTCAGGGGAGGGCCTTGAGCAGACAGGCTGGAGAAAGCAAGAGGGATGGGGGGTTGGTTCCTGGCATCTCCCCCTCTCCTAGACTGCATGACTGCTGCATGGTGGAAAGGAGAGGTCACGCTGTCTGCGCTCGGTCTGCAGTGATGCATCTGCACAAATACGGCCTCACTGTTAGCCATTATGTACTTATTAGTGCTGATTATCTCCTGATAGCTTCAGAGTCTGTTGGTTTCCCTGAGCTTGACGTGAATGATGGGCTTTGTTTAACCTCAGTGGAACATATCTTCTGACCCTGTAGATGACAGGACAGAGAAATTGTGGAGAATGCTTGCAATATGGGCATCTGCAGGCTAATCAGGGTACAGTAGAAACAGTCTTCTTCTCTTGGTTAGGTGTGATATCAGGTTCAGTGACAAAATAGAGAAATTGCAAACTCTTTAAATTTATATGTTCACATCTATCTATACCATTTAAAAGGAAAGTTCAAATGTAATGACTCTAAAATGTCATGGAGTGTAATCACCAAGTTAAAACAAAATTTTATTTTTTTACTATACTACTATACCATATACTACTACTCAAAAGTTTGAGTTGGTAAGATTTCTAATGTTTTTGAAAGAGGACATCTCTTATACTCACCAAGGCTGCATTTATTTGATTAAAAATACAGTAAAACTGTAACATTGTGAAATATTATTGTAATTTAAAATAATTTTCAATGTACTTATATTTTAAAATGTTACATATTCCTGTGATGGCAAATCTGAATTTTCATCAGACATTACTCAGTGTCACACGATCCTTCAGAAAATCATAATATGCTCCTTTGAAACTCAAGAAACCTTTATTATTATCAATGTTGAAAACATCAGTGTTGCTTAATACTTGTGGAAACATTGATACTTTCTTTTCTTCTCAGGATTCTTTGATGAACAGAAAGTTAAAAATTACAGCATTAAAATACATTTGAAAAATAAACAGTGAAGCACAGACCACATCACAAAAAGAGCGTTTTATATTATTCAGGCTTTTTGAAGATGAAAGTTAAAAATATGATAAGGTCTTAAACTAGAATTGTATAGACCCTCATTTTAAACACCCTTTAGATCCCACTGGTTGCCCTTTCTATTCTCCTAAAAAAAAGCACAACTTTTGAGGTGAAAAAGGCAACAAAAAATAGTCAACCGAAGCTGTTCCATTACATATTCCTTTTATCTTTACTCTTCCATCTTTACTCTTCCATTATGCATTTTGTGGTGTTATAAAACATGGACAAGACCAGCCTTTCTCTCCACAAATGCTCCCCCAGAGTCCTCACAGATCTGGCCTGGCAGACATATTCAATTTACAGTTATCATTGCTCTCACTTCCTGCTCCATACTCACACACACACACACACTCAGTCTAAGATGTCTCTGCTTGAGGTACCAAGCGCTTTTCCCAAATCCTCATTTTTTCCCTGGGTATTTTACCAAAGTGGGGGACAGTGGGTATTTGTGTCAGGTCAGAAGTGAAACAGAGACCTGACATGAGTCTCTGGCAGTGAAGACAGGTGACCGTGGTCCAGCCTGCCAGATGAGAGCACACTTCATAAAGGGTAAGAAGTGTGGCAGACCCCCCGTGGCTGGAGCTGTGATGAGTCTTGGTGTTGTTATGTTAAAAAGAATCCCTGTGGCTGGCTTTGCTGCTCGCTGATAAGAGGAGCAGAAGGTGCTTGTCTTGGGCTGAGGGTGAAACTTAGCATACACTCTCCTTGAAGGGAAAAGGGGTTGCGAGAATGACTTTCACACTCCTTTTTTAATATCATATAAAGCCGTTGTTTTGAACTTTGAGAGGCTGTGGCCTACTAGTTATTTTATATCACTTATTACTCTGGCATTCCAAACATCACATCAATAAACATGATTGAAAACCATGTTTGAATCTTAATTACCAGGGACAATGACATGTAAAAGTCATTTTCAAATCAATTTAAAACACATGCAAACAATAATAATAATAATAATAATAATAATAATAATAAAGCAATTTTAAAAAGTTTAAAATAGTTTTAAATTTATACATTCAAAAATAACTTGAGATGTAAACATCCAGTAAAAAGTGGGGAAAAAAAGAAAAACAATCCTTAAAACACAAATATCATGAGTTATTAATTGATAAACACTATAGAACTAACCTTGCCGTGTCATAAAAGGTCAAAAGGTAAAATTATCTAATATTTTAAGAGACTATTTATGCATACACACACAGACACACAGACACACACACACACACACACACACACACTAAAAGTGACACTAAAGTACTTAGCTACAAATTATACAAAAATGCTATTGTTTTTAACGTTCTATTCATCAAAGAATCCACGAAAAATGTACCAAGGTTTCCACAAAAATATTAATCAGCACAGCTGATTTTAAATATTGATTGAGCAGCAAAAATCAGCATATTAGAATGATTTCTGAAGGATCATGTGACACTCCAGTCTGAAGTAATGGCTGCTGAAAATTCAGCTTTGCCCTCACAGAAATAAATTACAATATAAAATATATTAAAATAGAAAACTGAATTGAATATTGACTGAAAACAGTATAATTTCACAACATTACTGTTTTTACTTTGTGTTCAATAAAAGAATGCAACCTTAGTGAGCATAAGAGACTTCTTTGAAAAACATTTTGAACAGTATAAAATCATGTTCATCATAACAGTGGCGTATTGAAGTCATTTTATGTTTAAAAAACATTTTGAGGGTCACATCATTGACTCACCATCCTGTAACACACATACCAGCATTAAAGTGCAGCTTAGCCACATTTACTAAATGAGACTCCTTTCTAACTCAAAAAACATGCCATTTATGCCATTTACGCTCTCACAGCCAGCTGGATTTTGAACCCAAGCCATGGGGTGCTCGAGGGATCAGGCACAGACAGGCCAAACCTTGTTGATTTCTCTGGTTTGGGTCAAGAGGGCTATGAATTGGAGCTGGTGTGAAAGGTAAACACACAGCTCTCTGGCTGGATTAGACAGAAGGGGCAAGGACAATGTGGTAACCCCTAATCCCCTGAGTGCTGGACCGCAGGTGCCCAGACAATCAAAGAGAGAGAGAGGGGTGAAGAAGAAAGAGAGAAGGATAGGGCTTTAAAGGAAAGATGCACTTTCCCCTCAGAGATCCATATATACACAAACATACGTATTATATTGAGAGGGCGGGGAGAGATAGAGCGATAAATTGAGATAAGGTCTTGGTGAGGTTGAACCTTTGAACTCTGGCTAAGGAGGGGCTCAACCCTATTGAACCCTGGCTGTATTTGTAGTTGTCTTCAAAGAGGACATGATTACGGTTACAGAGCTAATGTCAAAGAGATCATCCAACATTTTGGGTGACACCTGAATAAGGGTACTATTGACATTTACTGGGTAGATAGTAAGCAGTAGCAAACAGCTAATCAGGTGCCTGTTTCTTTCACTTTTTACTGGTATGTTGGTTTATCAGTGAGCAGAGCTGTGGAGGCAATATTCAGACGGAGTCGTTTTCTTGTCTGCCCTCTGCAGACCTCTCTCACTGATACCCAGACAAAGGTCATGAACCCCAAGAATGGTGCACTATATTTTCACTTTTACCTGTTTATGTGAATGCACACACATATAGCACACAGACATGTTCAAAGTTTCGTCCTGCTCTTGCCAGTAGAGAGTGTGAGTGTAGATCAATGGCTTGCATATTGATTAGATCGGTTGACGAGCACCAGGTGCTCTTCCATTGGCCGACCACCCGAAGGAGAAGAATTCATTATACTTGAAGAGCATGCACTGCATTGAAAATAACTCTTACAGATATAGCAATGTTTCTTGAGCACCGAAATCAGCATATTAGAATGGTTTCTGAAGGATCATGTGACACTGAAGACTGGAGAGTACTGGTTGCTGAAAATTCAGCACAGGTAAAGAGTAATGCTGCATTCACGTCATGTCATAATTACCGTAATTCCGAGATGACAACATGTGATGTTCAACTTGGTGCTGTTCACGTCCTCGGACTGGGGATTATCCATTTCTATAGCGACAGTCAACGAAATGACCCCGCGTGAATGCTACTAGCAGCTGTAAAACACAATACAAGTAACAGTTGCTATGCAAATGTGTTATTATTACACTTTATAATTATTTCTTTAGGTTGTTATTACATGGGTAGCCTAGATATCTAACCCTGTGCTGCAAATCTTTCCTTTATGTTCACACTTTTGTATGAAGACATCTACATTGGCAAAAGTCAATGTAACAAATCAACTCATGGGAAATATGAATAATTAATCATAACTAGTTATAATTAATTATGAATATTTTAGATCCGCTGTAGATATTTAGCTGACCTCTCAGGGTCAACTGTCTTGTCAATTCTAAGAACGTTAATTTCCTGGTTAAGGGAAATAACTTCCTTACTGTGCAATTCTACAAAAGCTTGTAGCATAAATCTGCATGATTAAGTGACTCCAGTTATGAGCAAACAATGAACCACGTCAAGTGTGATACAAGTAAGGTTTTATTAACTACATAAACACTAAAACTAGTTTAACATACTACATAAACACATAAACTGGTCTAACATACTACATAAACACATAAACTGGTCTAACATACACATACACACACACACGCATACAGTTGGTATAGGAAAGGGTTAAAGCTTTACTCAGTACAGAGAAGAGACATAAGGAATGAAATTTATGGAACCATTTGCATATTAACTAGCAGGGACCCACCAAATACCTCATCAAAAGAAAAAGAAAAAGAAACAGTTGGAATTGTTCCTAGTTCTATCTTGACCTACATTGTGTTGAACAGCAGCTGCCCTTCAATGTATTAGGTCTGGCACTGAGGAGTGAGGAGAAAGTAGAGAGGAAACAGGGATTAAGCTACTAATAACCTGTATAATTCATTAAGGAAACAACAGTTGCTAGAACTACTGTAATCCTATACAAAACGCGAAGATGGTGATGGTAAAATAACTAAAATAAGGTAAAAGTAGAACAAAACAAACAAAAGGGGTCCTAATAGCTGTAGGAAATTAAAAAGGGAAAGCAAATAAAAAATATATAAAAAATAAAAATTGATTGAATTAAATCTCAAATTTAATAAAAATCAATTTAGCTGAATTGGTACATTTGTGCTAAACAAATGTAAATAAATGCAATAAAATTAAAGAGAGGTAGATCGTGAGCATGCATGGAAAACTCGTGTGGGGCATAACAGTCAGTTATGACATGTCCCATACA